TACTCTCGCAACTTCAATTGGCAATCAGCTGAAAAAACGCAGAGTTTTTCACCTCTTTAGGTCAATTGTTAATAACAATCACAGAATTCATCATCCACTTCCTCTGTGGATGCTGTGCAATGATTAGAATTTCATTCAAATATGAACACGTATTAAAACAGATGTTGTTTTCCTAACATGAAATTATTTTCAGAACTGCTTCAGGAAATGTTTCACTCTTCTCTTCTCTTCTCTTCTCTTCTCTTCTCTTCTCTTCTCCCCTCTTCTCTTCTCTTCTCTTGCTCTATCAGACCCTTGCCCCAGGCATGTTTTTTTTTCTGAGTGACATTCACTGGTGGCACATTTAAAGCAGGTTAATATTGATCTGGGCTGAGCAGGTGATGGGTTAAATCGATTATGTATGTGACAGCCCTATTTCCTAAACTTGTAAAGCTTACTAAAGAATGCCTCCAGTCAAACAGAAATAAACAAGATGAAAATGCACAATTTTGCAGTAGTATCAAAAAATCTGTGCATTCAGTAGTGACGTGAGAGACTTCTGGAGATGGCAGAGACACTAAATGGCAGCTCTGAAATGCATGAACTAAATCATAGAGTCTTCCTTTATCAAAATGAAATGTCTAACTTTGATAATCCACAGTTGGAAACGTCAAAGGAAGATTTGATTGAGATGTTATATTCAGCACTTTATCTGGGTGGGTACTGTGACACAGAAATAAAAAAAAAAGACTGATGATTCAAAACCAATCAAAAGGAGATTTAAATCATCCTTTGGAAAGAGTCTTAACAGCGACAATATGCCAGGCCATGTTTAATCATGACAGATATTTAGAAACTGCGTGGGCGTGTGGGAGGGTGGGTGAGGCAGAGAGACAGACTGGAAGACAACGTGCACTCATTTCATACATCGTAACATTTGGGCATTTTAGCACTTTTATTTTGTATAAAAAAAACGTGGCACTATTCTTTCTTTTTTTGGAAAAGCGACAACAGTCATAAAATGTGAAAGGGCAATAAGCAGCCTTTGTGAGCTTTTAAGGAGGTCTGACCTGGGTATTTTTCAAATCACCATGGAACATCTAACAGAGCTTTTAGTAAAACAGGTGCATTTTTAGAGAATGCATTCATTTATTTGAAAATTACCACTGTGTTTCTGCTGCTCCATCAAAACATGCTGTCATGTTGTCTCAAATGCAGGTAAAATAAGAATACCCTGACAAAAACAAAAAAAATAATAAAATACTTTAAATAGTGTTTTATGTATTTTTGTCACATATATCATCTTTGGATACTTACTTGCCTTCTGTCCTGAGCTCTTCACACCAGTCATGATACTTTTTTTAAAAATTAATTCTGTTAGATGACATTTCTTTTGAGAACATAGTGGAGTAGAACATAGTAGAATGAATGAAAAGTCAGGATTTTATAAGATGTCTCTGATAACACTACCAAGAAACCTTGACTCCAATAAAAAAAAAAACTTAAACCTTAAAAAAACAAATTTAATCATTTTCACAGCAGCTATTTCTCAGCATAAGCAGCTCCAAGCCAGTTTCTAGATGTGTAACAAAGACAAGTACAATATAATTGCAATTACTAGTCAAGAAAAATCATAAAAAAGGTGTCTGGAAAACTCATTTCTTTAACTTTTATATACTTATATATTTAAAACGTTGGAATGATATAGACAACTCATCGAGTTAATGTCTGCATACTTTGTCCATTATAAATGCCAGAGTTACTAACAGAAAGAGTTGACAAGGAAGAGGTTTCAGTCCCTTAATCGCAGTAGAAGTCCATGTCCTGAAAGACAAGCAAAACATCAGGCTCTATTTCCTAACATGGAATGGAAAAAAAGTATTCATTCATTTAAAAAAATGTTGCATAAAAGAATTTAATGTACTAACAGTTGTTTGGATCTTAACTGTGTTTTCTGTAAACCTCTGTGTCTCCTTCACCACAGTTGCAGGGAAGTATCCAATGATGCCCATCTGGTCCACGTACCGCTCACTGTAAATCTGCCAGCAAAAATAATATAACTCCAGCAAATTAGCATGCACCACACTCTATATGTATTATGCATAACCTTTCTTACAAAACTTGACATAATGAAAAGCCTGCTCGTTTCAGATACAGTGGACTCTGATATGCAACCAAATGTCTTTTCTTGTCAGAAAAGCCAGAAGGTTTGTGTTTGTTTACCACAGCTGTTGCACATCTTCTGTCTTTCACAACTCAAGCGTACAGTGACATTAAACAGTGTACAAAATCTGCACATACGCTTCCAGACCAGAAGACTCCAGCGCCCTCTGCTGCAATGAGTTTGGAGTACACATAAACCACCTGACCCTTTCTGAGGTTGAGAAATCGGCAGTCAGGAGATATGAAGTCATCCGAGACTGTGGCCATGAAGAGAACATCTAATACAGCACAGGAAAAAATTAAAAAGAAGAATGTGAAACATAAGCATCTACTGTTGATTTTGAAACGTGCTGCATCCTGCATGCTCTGCTATGCTTCTGTTTTTAATGCTCAGACTTACATGAGCACTCTGCATCTCCGCAAATCTTCTGGTCTGCTAGTTTATCCATGTGGACAGCCCTCGTGGTCTGGTGGAGCAGTCCCACACACAACAGAATCACCAGTGGATAACCCATCCTCGCCAAAAGACCAAGAACAAGCGACTGTTGTGAGTGTGTGTACGTCCGGATGTGAATGCAGATGTTTGATGGAACTTAAGGCTATAAAAATCACAAACACTTCTCTCAGCCAGGACAGAATGGGCTGAGCCCCTTCATCACACATCGACTAACCAATCAGTGTCGAGTTTCAGAAATTCCAAACTCTGTAAGTATTCATTTCCATCAGGGGAGTTGGCTGACTTTTCTCAATTCTCAGCCTCTTTGCAGAAAGAAAGTTTGCTGTAAACTGTAAGTGTTACACTCTATAAAAAAACCACATTTGTAAGAAGTAAAGGCCTTTAAAAGCTATTTCTTTACAGTCAACAAGCTTTAAGATTTATCAAATCGATGTAACCATAAACCATCTTCAATAAATATGCAAATAAAGTACTGTTCAAAAGTCTTATGCCACCACTCATCCCTTTAACTTTTGCTTCCAAGAAGCCAGACTTTGTTGTAATTTTTTAAGTTGTCTTGAGGAGTAGTGCTTTAGTTTTCTTTGTAGGCCTTTCAAAGGTTTTCTTTGAACACTGGCTGCTGACTCATTTTCTGTCCACTTGTTGCACCTGACTACTTTCACCGACCGACCTATGAGTCACTGAAGCAAAACATGTTTACTTAACTCATAGAATAAACCAGTGTTGAGTCTACACATAACAGACAACTTCGCAAATAATCTATTTTAAATTGTATCTTTAGTAGCTGCCTGTTGCCAAAACACATCAATTGTTCCCATGTCTTTAACTGAATTCCAGAATAATGCACAAGATAACACAGTTTGACAGGTATAAAATAGTATTTTTGCACCAATAAGGCAATTCCAAAGGTGCTATTAGCTAAAATCTTGCTGTATCTCGGCAAAGTGTGCAGTGTGTCCATTAAAACATTTGAAATAGGACAAGTGGGGGACAAAACAAGAAGCAGCCTACAAACCTGTCTATAGCAAATGAAAATCATGCTCTTAATAAACAGAAAAAGATCCACCAGAGACTTGACACGGGACCTGAGATGTATATCTGGGCCTTCAGTTGATCCATCTACTGTTCACTGAAGCTTAATCATCAATTATCTAAGTGGAAGTGTGGCTGCTTAAAAGGGAAGCATGCTTGCATGCTTAAGAAAGGGAAACAGTTAGAAAACGCTGAAGTATGCCATATTACACAAGATCATCATCAATATGTAAAAGGGAGGTCAGGTTAGACATACAACAGTGAGTGCCTACAGCCCTCTGTGAAACACAGCAGCAGTTGTGTTAGTGTCTTCTTAAAATTGTTGTAAGTATGATTGTAGAAAAGTACCATCAGATCCGCCATGCAATGCCATTTCTGTAGTGTGGGATTTGCAATCGCTTAATTTTGGCAACGATGAAAATTGAAAATGCCTGGATACAAACACACACACACACACACACACACACACACACACACACACACTATCAGTCATGGATTGACCTAGACTACTGAAGCAGTGTGGGATCATTTTGATAGCGAAGAGAATGAAAGGCAGCCAACAACCAAAAGAAGAGCTTATAATGTCCCGGGGAACTATTCCTGAAGACTACTTAAAGAAACTGCAAGAAACCTTCCTAAGACAGAGCTCATCATCATGCTGAAGAATAAAGCGGCCATACAAATATTGACTTTCAAGCTCGTTAGACTTATAAAGTTTGTTTTTTTACCTTGCAAACTCTGTTTGCATTTATGTTTGCACACATTTCAATGAAAGCCTGCACCTAGTTCCCACTTTACTAGCAAAATATAAAGAAACAAAGGGTGACAAGACTTTTGCACAGCATTGTGATTCATATCAAGTTTGTAAAATGTTTAGCTTACACATCACTTCCTTTGGGTGTCGCTAAAGCGGCTGCAAAAAATATAGGTCAAACAAAATTACTAAATATTGTCTAAAATTGGGTACCCGATTTTACACAATATTTAGTAATTTTACAGTTCATGGAAAGACGTCTGTGAAACAAGTCAGCTTACAACCAGACTTGAATTGAAAAACCTTGCGTATATGACGTGACGTGTAAAGAAATAAATCCCTTAATCTTAGCAGTACAAGATGACAAAATCACCAATTTAATATTTAAATACCTAAAGTGATTACAACGTTGAAGGTAAATGTGCTTGACGGTCTTGAGGTTCTGGTTAAAATATAGTTCGATTGCAAATATAACAACGCCCAATCAAGTTTAATTTTTCAAATAGTGATCTATTTGAAAAGTTCAATGTTGTCCTTTCACCCACTGTGTTCTCGGGATCCCGAAGATTTTATATATAAGAGCTGTATTTTCAACACATCTTGTCTAACTTATGGTCAAGAAATCACACCATTTTACAATTCCCTCAGTTTCTTTTCGCTGCTTGCTGCGTATCAATTCAACAAACCACTTTCAGTTTACCTGACTAGATGATAATTGTTAGTAATTATAACGTCTTTCTTAGCACCTGAAATAATGAAGTTGAATCTTCCCAGAAATGCCATACAGATACAAAACCTGAGGTAATAAAGCATCAAGGGCGTTGGCATGTAGGTAACATTCCTTATAATTAAACTGGTGACATATTTTAGATGTCATCAACTTTGTAAACAAGCTGGACATTACGCACTTATTTCCTTCATCTGATGCAAACCACTGAAAACCGAGTATGTTTACATCTAGATGTAGGCGGGTGGGGTTTAAACTTACATGCAATATGAGTAAATAGGAAAACAAAATGAACCTCTCCTTCGCGCTACGCAGTTATTTAAAACAAACGCACCATTGGCATTTGGCTGTGACGTAAGCATACTGTAAACTCAAAGCCGTAGTCTCGGCCGGTGCTGTTATTGTTCAGTTCGCGGAGTTTGGGGGAGGGTAGTGCTTTATGTTTTATTTTGGGGGCTGCACACTGCCATTATCGGGGTAATTACAAGCACCCCAATGCCTGGCCCGAGGTATATATTATTTATATAGCATCAGAATCGGTCTAAGTAGTTGTAAGCTAACAAGTTAGGTCCCAAAGTAGCCGATGGATGCGCGGGTATCGGAGTTATTTGGCTCAGGAAACGGACACAGCTCTGGATCTGGTGGTGTGTCCAGCGGCAAGCCTGGGAATGGCTATGGGGTAGCCCCCAAAAAATCCTCTGCAAAGAACAAGAAAGCAAAAGCTCGATTATCCCGCAACTTCAAACCAAGCAATAACACCCCGTATCTACCTCCAGAGGTAAGGCTAAAAATACGCGCACAATTAGCTATTTCGAGCTAATATTTCCCGGGCACTGGAAAGCCTGTCACTAAGAGTAAGCAGATTGATTTTTGTATGTTGTAACGATACTCGTAGGTTTGTCATTGTATTTCCTGTTTTGAGGGTTAGCTTCCCCACCATTGACTTGTCTTTGAACCTGCAGTGACACGTAGCTAGTCGGTACAAAGAAAATGAATGGTACCATTTCAAGCGTAGAGGTTTTGCGTTTGCTGTTAGCTTACGACTTTCTGTTTACAGTAGTTTTGCAGAAATAGGCCTAACGTGTATTAATTGAAAGTTGCTTGATTAAAAAATGCAATGTATTTTGCTAGCTAGCAAAAGAAGATCAGCTGTGTTTGTAAATAGGGGGCGGGTGCATAGCTCAGCCGGCCGACCTCTAGATAGTGATACTGTGAGTGTCTGACATTCACTCAGCCAAGGACTGTGTTACTACACAAAACTTTTTTTTTTTTTTACATGTATTTATTTATTTATTTATTTTACAGTGACCTCCGTGTGTTGTCATTACCCACCAGCTGTGTTTTTTAAACGTGACACTTAATCCTAAACTGTTCTTTAACCTTTAATGATCATAAACTGTCCAGTATAAAATTGCTGTCAGCTGATCACTGAATATAACTAGGTCCCCTGTCATAAGTGATTACATGACAGATATTTGACCTTATTTTCGCGACTTGGTTTACCTTAAATGTATTGATTTTGACTTTTAAGCATGCGTATGTAATGTGTAATAATATATTAAGTCGCTGTGTAAGGCTAAGCAAGCGGTTAGCCTGTTTGTATAGCTCTCAGTGACTGCCTATTCATAGAGAACACTGACTGCACATTCAGTCAAACTGCTTTTCTTTTTCTCTTTAAACAAATCAATAGTCTGTTGTCTTCCCTACAGTTTTACAGCTGTTGTTTCTTTTCTGTCTCTCTTTGTTTTACTCCCTGTCTCTTAGGCCGAAGAGGGAAATATAGAGTACAAGGTAAGCAAATTAGCTGTGATGCAAAGGCTTTGTTTTGTTCAGAGAGCTAAAATGCTTTACATAACACCATAAAACTGATTTATATATGGGTCAATTCTTGTGATGTGGATGTTATTGGTAATTTATCAGTATGCAGTATGTGTGAATATATAGGTGCAGTCTTTCCATTGAAATATAACACCACTGTGGATTAACTAGAGTATTTGTAGTATCAGGACAGCCGCTTCTTGTCAACATAGAGCTTTTTTATTGCCTTGTTCCTACAGTAATAATTTGTTTATGTCCAAAATAGGTTTGTGTTGAGTACTAATTAGTAATTTCTTTTCTTGAATAGCTCAAGCTAGTGAACCCCACACAATACCGCTTTGAGCACCTAGCAACACAAATGAAATGGCGACTGCAGGAGGGCCGAGGCGAAGCTGTCTATCAAATAGGTGTCGAGGACAATGGCATGCTAGTAGGACTATCAGAGGAGGAAATGAGGGCTTCACTAAAAACGCTCCATCGGCTAGCAGAGAAGTAAGTCAAGTATTTTTATTCCGTTTACTGACTGATAGTTATTCTGCTGTTGTAGTTTACCTCATCTACCAAAACACAAAGAACTGTACTTACGTTTGTTTTTCGTGACAGAGTTGGAGCAGATATCACAATTTTAAGAGAGCGAGAGGTGGACTATGACGCTGATGTGCCTCGTAAGATTGCTGAAGTTCTCATTCGCAAAGTGCCAGATGACCAGCAGGTTAGTGTGGCTACCTGCACATGGATATCTCTGGATGTTTAAATTCTTGGGCATTTCTAAGTCATTTTGGTGTTGTGTTTTTCTCCT